GGCGCCTCCCTCCCAGGCCCGATATTGGGAGCGGCCCTGCTCCTCCGGACCTCACCGCCCTCGCCAAAGGGCAGAGAGCGGGAGGGAGGAGACCAGGCCCTCCTGGGGGCCTCTCCCGAGGGTGGGCCGGGGTCTGGAAGGCCAAGGGAGACCACCTCCGCTCACCCTCGGGGAGAGCCTGGGTTCTCTACGGCCCGGGGCGCCCGCAGGCACCGGCCGCCCAGGCGTGGCGAAGGGACAGGGGAGCCCCCTTTGCGCCACTGCTGCTCACGGGCTGGGGGGCCTCTGGGCCTCAGTTTCCACGCCCGTGCGGAGGGGATGTGGCGGCTCTGGGCGGCGCTCCGGCGGGGCCCGGGTGAGCTGACGGCGGGCTCCAAGTGGGCTGGGAGGTGCTGACGCTGGCCACTCCGCAGGAGGAAGACGATGGCCGGGCCACGGCCCAGTCCGTGGACCAGGCTGCTGCTGGCCACGCTGCTGAGCGCCAGCTTCCCCGGGGACACAGGTGAGTCCAGCTTGGCCCTCGCCGGGGGCCTCTGTGGATGCCCCACCCCGACACCCTGGGGGTCCCCGGGCTGAGTCGCGTGGCCTGAGAACCCCAAGGAGAGGGAGACCTGGTCTCCAGAGGGAGCGGAGACGCCACTCAGAGCCCGGGGCCCCCCGAGGTCCCGAGGTCCATAACCTCGAGCACAGCGGGGGAGAGGGACCCCGGACTTGTCACTGCTCTGTGAGACCCCCAGGGCAGGAGCCGCTCTGACCGCCAGCACGTGGCCAGTGCTCATAACTGATGTGGGGGGCTGGTGCACGCCGGGGGCCCTGACCCACATCCTGGCTGGCTGGAGCCAGAGGGCCCCAGTAACCTCTGCAGAGACTCTGACGTTTTGCCTCATTTATTGACCTGCTACGTGCCGCGCTGCGGTCGGGCACGGGGACCAGAGCCCCCCACGAGGCAGACGGGGCCCCTGGCCCCCAGCGGCTGAGCGGGAAGGCCAGGGCGTCTGGCAGCAGCGGGCGGCTCAGCCCCGCCCCACGGAATGGGCAGCCCGGGTTTGAGGCCCCCCCGCGCTACATGGGCACACCCCGCTCCCCGCCTGTACCTGGGGGGGCCCACTCGCTCGGGGAGGAAGGCCTAGCGCAGGTCCCGTCTCCACCCTCCAGCAAACCGCTGCAAGAAGGCCCCGGTCAAGGGCTGCACCGACTGCATCCGTGTGGACAAGGACTGTGCCTACTGCACGGACGAGGTGACGCCGCCGCCCGCCCGGCCCCCCGCGGGACCCCCGGCCCCGGCCAAGTCCCGTCCCACACCCTCGCCTGGCCAGGCGGGCGCGGGACAACAGCCCAGGGTGGCGTGGGA